AGTGACCGCCCACCAGCCGTTGCCCAGGCCTCCCCCTGCAGACCTGCAGCTGTGTCGCGCCTGAGGCCATGAGCACCCAGCCCTTCCCCACCCCGGCGTCGGCAGCGATACCTGCAATCCCAACAGCCTCCAAAATCCTGACACGGGCTGTGCCGTCCTCTTTGCCGCCCACCCGAAGCGGCAACACCTCTTATAGGGACTGGAGCGGAGGGAGGGGACAATCCGCCCGGCTAATTGTGCAGGAAGGATGTGGCACGGGGAGACAAACAGGAGCGCCGGGGGTGAGCGGGCTGGGCCGGGCGCAGGCGCACCCGTGGGTGGCGGGGCAGCCAGGAAGGCAACGATGGGGAAACACCGGGGCCCAGCCCTCTGAACCCAGGCACCCCGTTCCCACCGCGGCCGGATGGCCTGTCCCCGTGTGCCCCATGTGCCCCATCCTGATGATACCTGCGTGCCCCATCCCCGTGTTGCTCGTGTGCCCCGTCCCTGTGATGTCCATCTGCCCCCTCTACCCCATCCCCGTGACACTTGTGTGCCCTGTCCCCATGTTGCCCATGTGCTCTGTCCCTGTGTTGTCCATGTCCCGTGTGCCCCATCCCTGTGATGTCCGTGTGCCCCATCTCCATGATGTCCCTGTGCCGTGTGCCCCATCCCCATGACACCTGTGTGCCCCATCCCTGTGATATCCATGTGCCCCATCCCGATGACATGTGTGTGCCCTGTCCCCATGATGTCCATGTGCTCTGTCCCTGTGTTGTCCATGTCCCGTGTGCCCCATCCCTGTGATGTCCGTGTGCCCCATCCCCATGGTGTCTGTGCCCCGTGTGCCCCATCCCCATGACACCTGTGTGCCCCATCCCTGTGATATCCATGTGCCCCATCCCGATGACATGTGTGTGCCCTGTCCCCATGATGTCCATGTGCTCTGTCCCTGTGTTGTCCATGTCCCGTGTGCCCCATCCCTGTGATGTCCGTGTGCCCCATCCCCATGGTGTCTGTGCCCCGTGTGCCCCATCCCCATGACACCTGTGTGCCCCATCCCTGTGATATCCATGTGCCCCATCCCGATGACATGTGTGTGCCCTGTCCCCATGATGTCCATGTGCTCTGTCCCTGTGTTGTCCATGTCCCGTGTGCCCCATCCCTGTGATGTCCGTGTGCCCCATCTCCATGATGTCCCTGTGCCCTGTGTCCTATCCCCATGACACCCGTGTGCCCCATCCCCGTGATGTCCGTGTGCCCCATCCCCATGACATCTGTGTGCCCCATCCCTGTGATGTCCCCATGGTGTCTGTGCCCCATGTGCCCCATCCCTGTGACACCTGTGTGTCCCATCCCTGTGATATCCGTGTGCCCCATCCCGATGACACGCATGTGCCCTGTCCCCATGATGTCCACGTATCTGTACCCGTGTTGTCCGTGTCCCGTGTGCCCCATCTCCATGATGTTCCTGTGCCCTGTGTGTCCTATCTCCATGTTGCCCACGTGCCACATCCCTGTGATGTCCATCTGTCCTGTGTGCCCCATCCCTGTGACACCCATGCACCCTGTATGCCCCATCCCCACAGTGCCCCTGTCCCCACATCCCCGCGGCACCCACGTCCCCGCGTGTCCCCAGCCCGCCGCGCTCCCTGCTGACGCGGCAGGTCATGGCACGCCGGGTGCTGCCGCCGCCGGATCCGGGAAGGGACCGCACCGGGACATCCCC